AAACCGATCTATTACAACTAGGTTTCACTTACCTATATCTATTATTATTTGTACTTCATTTTCTGAATATTAACTAGATTGGTAAATTCGGAGTTATAGTCGAACTCTGGTAACCCGTTGGTATAGTCTTCCCGTTGTTGAATTTTGGTCTGGGATCATAGTATACAGATGATAGGGGTGTAATACATAGACAGTGGCCGCATATCACATGTTGAACTTTATCATAAATGGATACCTTAGATTGATTTATGTAGATCTGTTTAATAGTATATAATTCGGATGAATTCTGATTCGATACGAATTAATAAGGATAATAAATGAGAAATAGAATTATTTTAATCAAGATTTCACGTAAGTCCAATGATGATGGGAAAATACCTTAAAGTAGATATTAAACTAATATTATAAAGTTGTAAGATTTTCCTTATGGAATAGGAATATGTATCATATAAGTCAGGCTAGTTAACGAGATTTATCTAAACTAAGTACAACCCTTTTGAAAGATAACTTTTGCTTCACCCCTAAACTATTGGCACAACATAAACATATATAAGAATATAATATATTCTTATAAGATTAAATTCAAGTAGGACCATACTACCTTTAAAACCAGAAGAAGGGTTAAACCAGATAGTACTTACTTGCAGTGTTAGAGGATGCTAAATTTTTAAATGTTACAAGATCTAGTCTTTATTAGGATCTGTTGAAACTAGCTTAAGTGCAAGAGACCCGATTCTTTTGAAGGTCTATCCCGAATAATGCAACTGCTTTCTTCTGTTTAAAGTGACTTATATATTTTAGAGATGATAGTTGGTAAATCAAAACTCATAATTATAAAAATGAAGCAAGGATCAAATTCCTATAGCTTTAAATCTATAAATTCATTATAAGCAAATGAATTCAGCTTTTAAGTAGCAAAATATAAATTACAACCTAACACTGGACGAAACAAGATTTCTTCAAAACAGATTTAACTAAAAACCAACACAGTAAATACCTAAAACCATCCAATGGAAGGACTATAACCCTGCCAGGAAATGGATTTTTGGAAGGAAAATTGTTTCCCCCTCAGACAATGAAAAAGTAAACCAAATTGTCACATTTTACAAAAA